AAATTTCCTACATTAATGTAGCAATTACATCAATAGTCTCATATTAAAAACTGGCACATTCAATTTGGCTAAATGGTTAACAAATATTTTTAGTATAGATTTATTCAATTTTTTGTAATTATTATAAAAGGTACTAGATGGTAGGTATGTGGCAAGTGTTTATTTATTTATTTAATAATTATGTTTATACTCATACAGGTTCAGTAAAATCAGCACAGTCTGTAATCAGAATCAAATCCAAATTTGTTTTATTTTGTTTTAGAGGATGTTTCGTAAATAGGATAAATAATTTCCACAAACACAAACTATTCAATGAGAAAATCACTTTTTTTTACTTAAGTTGTACAGTATATTTTTTCTACGACCAACTAAAGAAAATTAAAATTTTTCTAATTGTTATTAAGATTTGAATTCATGACATTTACTAATTTAAAAAAATTTGTAATTGAATTGGTTTTAATAAAATTTACGACTCCATAGCAAATATTAACGAATATCTTGTGAATTTATCTATTCTTTATTATAATAATTGATTTTTAATTTGCTTTTACCTCAATAACTAAAAAATATTCAGACAATTTTTAGTTTGACAGATTTGTTACAAATTTGAAATTTTGAAACATAATCTGTGATTTATATTCATTCGATAGATTGATGTGGTATACATATTTATTTTGTAGTTTGTTAGGAATAGTAGTATGTGCAATAGGAGTGGATATGGACAAACCATTCGAGTATATTTTTTCTACGACTCACTAACGAAAATATACAAACCTAAAAAATATTTTAAGTTCTTTAGACAAAATAACTAATTTTTGAATTTTACTGAGTTTTAGATAAAATAAACAAAAAAAATTATTTAATTAGTCCCCAGCCGATATTTAATCCCAAGCTGTCCAGGTGGAAGGCAATGCTCTGTCCTCGCGTCCATGGCCTCTTTTAGGATTTTTGTTTTGATACTCGCAATTAAAATAGTTTTATATAGTTTGATTAAAATTGAATTTGTTTTTCAAAATATGGACCAAATAAAAATAAAAATGCTATTATTCTCACTCATTTTAATTTGTATATTTATACTTAATAGCAATTATTTTGACAGGATTGTCACTTATTTAACTTCAACGTTAATCTATATCAGGTTCTCTACATAATCCCATTTTCCTCGTTTAAATCCGACCAATAATAGCCGAGATACACGCTTAAGTCCTTCTGGCATTACTACTGCCCAGGATTTTTCTATTCATCGTTAATCTATATCGTGTTCTCTATATAATGCCGTTTTCCTCGTTTATATCCGACCAATATTAACCGAGATACACGTTTAGGCCCTTTTGACCAAGACATTGCGCATGATTTTTCTATTCATCGTTAATCTATTTCGTATTTTCCATAGAATGTCGTTTTTCTCGTTTAAATCCGACCAATAATAGTCGAGATCTACGCTTAGGTCCATTTGGCATTGCTACTTCACAGGATTTTTTTATTCAAGATAATCTATATACGTTCGCGTAAACGATAATCGCCATCTTGGATCGCTTAGCCGAGTTGCAAACCACTTAACCGAGTTTCAATTATCCACCACTGACAGGTGGCGCCATCTAGCGGTCACTTTGGAAGTAGTGCGTCAGAACGAACATAACCTATCTACTTACGCACACACTATAAAACGTTCTACCTAACTATAGAGTGTAGAGTTAAGAAGAACTATCTTTATTTATAAAAAGTGATCCTCAATGTGTATCACTTTGAGATGGAGTTACTATACGAGAATGGCGTCGACAGTTGTGAAAGTCGATAATTCAAACATACAATCACACCAAAGATGTCTATAGTTATATTACTCCCCCATATGTAAATTAGATATAACCTAAAAACTACACCGTAAAAAGTAAGCTTACAATCGTAGAGAAATTTTAATAGCAGACGACAATAATCAAACTAGAAATTTTTAATTCTTTTTAATTGTTTTTACTCGTGTTTTTAATCGTTTTTGATTGTTTTAATCGTTTTAAATTGTTTTTAATAGTTTTTAATCGTTTTTAATCGTTTTTAATCGTTTTTAATCGTCTTTATTCGATCCTAATAGTTTTTAATCGTTTTTAATAGTTTTTAATCGGTTTTAATCGTTTTTAATCGTTTTTAATCGTTTTTAATCGTTTTTAATCGTTTTTAATCGTTTTTAATCGTTTTTAATCGTTTTTAATCGTTTTTAATCGTTTTTAATCGTTTTTAATCGTTTTTAATAGTTTTTAATCGTTTTTAATCGTTTTTAATCGTTTTTAATCGTTTTTAATCGTTTTTAATCGTTTTTAATCGTTTTTAATCGTTTTTAATCGTTTTTAATCGTTTTTAATCGTTTTTAATCGTTTTTAATCGTTTTTAATCGTTTTTAATCGTTTTTAATCGTTTTTAATCGTTTTTAATCGTTTTTAATCGTTTTTTATCGTTTTTAATCGTTTTAAATCGGTTTTAAACGTTTTATTCGTTTTGATTCGTTTTTAATTGTTTTTAAATGTTTTTAAATGTTTTTAATTGTTTTTAAATGTTTTTAAATGTTTTTAAATGTTTTTAAATGTTTTTAAATGTTTTTAAATGTTTTTAAATGTTTTTAAATGTTTTTAAATGTTTTTAAATGTTTTTAAATGTTTTTAAATGTTTTTAAATGTTTTTAAATGTTTTTAAATGTTTTTAAATGTTTTTAAATGTTTTTAAATGTTTTTAAATGTTTTTAAATGTTTTTAAATGTTTTTAAATGTTTTTAAATGTTTTTAAATGTTTTTAAATGTTTTTAAATGTTTTTAAATGTTTTTAAATGTTTTTAAATGTTTTTAAATGTTTTTAAATGTTTTTAAATGTTTTTAAATGTTTTTAAATGTTTTTAAATGTTTTTAAATGTTTTTAAATGTTTTTAAATGTTTTTAAATGTTTTTAAATGTTTTTAAATGTTTTTAAATGTTTTTAAATGTTTTTAAATGTTTTTAAATGTTTTTAAATGTTTTTAAATGTTTTTAAATGTTTTTAAATGTTTTTAAATGTTTTTAAATGTTTTTAAATGTTTTTAAATGTTTTTAAATGTTTTTAAATGTTTTTAAATGTTTTTAAATGTTTTTAAATGTTTTTAAATGTTTTTAAATGTTTTTAAATGTTTTTAAATGTTTTTAAATGTTTTTAAATGTTTTTAAATGTTTTTAAATGTTTTTAAATGTTTTTAAATGTTTTTAAATGTTTTTAAATGTTTTTAAATGTTTTTAAATGTTTTTAAATGTTTTTAAATGTTTTTAAATGTTTTTAAATGTTTTTAAATGTTTTTAAATGTTTTTAAATGTTTTTAAATGTTTTTAAATGTTTTTAAATGTTTTTAAATGTTTTTAAATGTTTTTAAAGGTTTTTAAAGGTTTTTAAAAGTTTTTAAATGTTTTTAAATGTTTTTTAAATGTTTTTAAATGTTTTTAAATGTTTTTAAATGTTTTTAAATGTTTTTAAATGTTTTTAAATGTTTTTAAATGTTTTTAAATGTTTTTAAATGTTTGTTTTTAAATGTTTTTAAATGTTTTTAAATGTTTTTAAATGTTTTTAAATGTTTTTAAATGTTTTTAAATGTTTTTAAATGTTTTTAAATGTTTTTAAATGTTTTTAAATGTTTTGTAAATGTTTTTAAATGTTTTTAAATGTTTTTAAATGTTTTTAAATGTTTTTAAATGTTTTTAAATGTTTTTAAATGTTTTTAAATGTTTTTAAATGTTTTTAAATGTTTTTAAATGTTTTTAAATGTTTTTAAATGTTTTTAAATTTTTTTAAATGTTTTTAAATGTTTTTAAATGTTTTTAAATGTTTTTAAATGTTTTTAAATGTTTTTAAATGTTTTTAAATGTTTTTAAATGTTTTTAAATGTTTTTAAATGTTTTTAAATGTTTTTAAATCTTTTTAAATGTTTTTAAATCTTTTTAAATCTTTTTAAATGTTTTTAAATGTTTTTAAATGTTTTTAAATGTTTTTAAATGATCATTTCTAATAGTTTTTAATCGTTTTTAATTTTTTTAAATCGTTTTTAATCGTTTTTAATGGTTTGTAATCGTTTTTAATCGTTTTTTATCGTTTTTAATAGTTTTTATTAGTTTTTATTAGTTTTTATTAGTTTTTATTAGTTTTTATTAGTTTTTATTAGTTTTTATTAGTTTTTATTAGTTTTTATTAGTTTTTATTAGTTTTTATTAGTTTTTATTAGTTTTTATTAGTTTTTATTAGTTTTTATTAGTTTTTATTAGTTTTTATTAGTTTTTATTAGTTTTTATTAGTTTTTATTAGTTTTTATTAGTTTTTATTAGTTTTTATTAGTTTTTATTAGTTTTTATTAGTTTTTATTAGTTTTTATTAGTTTTTATTAGTTTTTATTAGTTTTTATTAGTTTTTATTAGTTTTTATTAGTTTTTATTAGTTTTTATTAGTTTTTATTAGTTTTTATTAGTTTTTATTAGTTTTTATTAGTTTTTATTAGTTTTTATTAGTTTTTATTAGTTTATATTAGTTTTTATTAGTTTTTATTAGTTTATAATCGTTTTTAATTGTTCTTGATCGTTTTTTATTTTTAATGGCTTTTAATCGTTTTTAATAGTTTTTAATAGTTTTTAATAGTTTTTAATAGTTTTTAATAGTTTTTAATAGTTTTTAATAGTTTTTAATAGTTTTTAATAGTTTTTAATAGTTTTTAATAGTTTTTAATAGTTTTTAATAGTTTTTAATAGTTTTTAATAGTTTTTAATAGTTTTTAATAGTTTTTAATAGTTTTTAATAGTTTTTAATAGTTTTTAATAGTTTTTAATAGTTTTTAATAGTTTTTAATAGTTTTTAATAGTTTTTAATAGTTTTTAATAGTTTTTAATAGTTTTTAATAGTTTTTAATAGTTTTTAATAGTTTTTAATAGTTTTTAATAGTTTTTAATAGTTTTTAATAGTTTTTAATAGTTTTTAATAGTTTTTAATCGTTTTTAATCGTTTTTAATCGTTTTTAATCGTTTTTAATCGTTTTTAATCATTTTATTCGTTTTTATTCGCTTTTAGTCATTTTTAGACAGATGTAGAACAGTCCGCGCCTGGTTACTAGTGGTAAAGGTGGGACCATGCGTCCAATAACGGTAGAGTGTCAACCAATTTACGGGAGCCTCTCCCTATTTTTCTCCCGTTCATATATAAGCCTCAGATCTTTATTTCGAATGAATCATGAGAAAACACTCTATATAATTAAAAATGAGTGATTGTTTTGAAGAATCTATAAATAATGGCATTTCACAAAATATTCGTCTATATTTAAAAATAAATCGTAAATTTTATTAACATTAAAATCAATCTAGTAAGAAGATAGTAATGTCAGAAATGTTGACTATTTACTCATAAGTTAATTTTGAGAGCCATCTTTAAATGCTTACAATAACTTAAAAACATAATATATCTTGGATATTTTTCTGTGATAAAAAATATTTTCATTAAATATTCTTAAACATTGTATTTTGAAAACATCTCAACCAAATCAAGAATATACATTATTCCCACATATATTTTGGATCTCTTGTTTAAATAGAATGCGGTCAAAAAGTGCTGTGTATAGTTTTTTTATTAAAATAATCATGTTATTTATTAATTTTATTGTAATAAAATTATTGATATATCTGTTAATCGTTAGTAAATAATATAAATGAAGTTCGGTGCGACAAGTGATTCGTATTATTTCGTAGAAAACGTTTTGGTCCTTGTAATTCAGGCTAGTAAAACATTATAGAAATTATTAATTTCAATATGCTCACAAACGATTCTATTCATCCAGGAAAAATTGTAGATGTTCAGTAATAAGCAGGAAGACGAATATTTTAATTTAAAAGATGTAAGAGCTGATTTAGTTCAAAGAAGAATTGTTAGCTCTTTCTTTACTTACTATACACCAGTGATGACTGTAGCTACCATTGCTGATGATACTGCTCTAATTTTAACTCTAACTCTAACTTTAGAATAAAGTATTGCTTAACGTAGTAAACACTCTTTAGTATGTTCGCAATACAAATCTTCATCGAAATTTTGAAATTCCAACGGTTAAAAAAAGAGATCAAGAGATTTGCTTGCAAGAATGAAGCCAGATGTTATCTACATATCAATGTAGAAACAGCTGATGGATCTGTATATGTAACGTGTGGAGGATGGGCTAACTCACGGCACTTAGGCATCACTAGGCCATCGCAATTAATGGATAATCAGATACGTTACCGGATTGAAGACTTGAAGAGACTTGAGCCATTTTATCTCTTGTGGTGTGCGAAAACAAAGAACAGTGCGCGATTGACTATATGAGTAATCAAACCAATTTAATGGAAAATAATAGATTGTCTTTAGTTCATAATTACTTGTATATAATCGATTGTTTGATAATAAAATGTGTGATTATTTAACGAGAATATTCTTAATAACAGGATACCATTATGTATTACTTTTTATTCCGTATGGTAATTTAATGACCGCACATAATTTGAGATTATTTTTTAAAACTCTACTATAAACTGTGCTATTTTACTGAAAACATTTCCACACAAAGAATTACTTTTTAAACACCTCGGATATTTTTCATAATCTTATTGACCTATGCTGATGTTCCACCCCCTCCAGCACCATCTCCTCGCCTCGAATTATCAGGCGGCAGCAAAGATTGTTGTTGCAAAAATTTAGCTGCTGCAGGAAATCCTTGCAGATCGAAACCAGGAGGGGCTACTATTGCAGCACCTACTGCTCCCGCAGTTCCCTGGAGGTAGCCTATGATCCTTTTCATTTCCTCCAAAGCGTTCGCCTGCATCAGAATGTAATTTTTGGCTAAAAGTAGTGTTGCTATTTTTGATAGTTTCCTTACTGAAGGTGAGTGAGCGTATGGAATGACGGATCTGTGAAAAATATAATTTTTTAGTGAAGAGGTAACCAGAACATTGAAAACTTTCTTTTAAAAACAACACAAAACCAAAAATGCCCAATTTAAGTTAACTGTAACAATTAGCGGTCAAATAATTAGTAGTTTCTTAAAATACTAACATAGAAACAGAGATATTTACTAATATAGAACGTTTCATAAGGTCTATTAGCACTGACAGTGGTTTTTTCGTTTCCTGGAAGAAGCTGATTTTAGACATGAGTCTTTTTGCAAAAAGGTCTTCAATTGTAATTTTATAGTAAAACCATACAGCGAACTAGATTGTTTATCCTTTAAACTGGATAAGCATCTGTAGTTAAACATTTCTTCAGATAATTGGACGGTTTTAATTTGTTTTTAATATTCGGATGATGAAAGAACAGTAACAAGAAACTGGTGAATCAATTAGAGTAATTTGATTAGTAAATTAATAATAAGACCAGAGAGTGGTAATGGCTTTTTAATTGAATTTCAATTTAGAAATCGCAATGATATCTAAATTTATATAGTAACTCTTGTAATTTATTGTAACTATATTTTAATTTATTTATAGTTTATTTATTTAAAACACACCATTTACAATTAATTTATGACGTAATAAATGATTTATATAATACTTAGGCACTAACTCACAATTCTAATTTATTTATTACAATTTATCTTTTCAGTCCAATACTTTATTCTAAAGTAAGTCATCCGTCGATAAGTCGCGCTATTTATACCAAGTCCAACTCTGATCGAGAAGCTTCTAGACGATGTGGAATGTCCTAGAATTGTATCTCTATGACTCAACGGCACGTACTGCTTGTTCTGATCATTTCTCGTGAAGCAGTGCGTTTGTCTCTATACGTCAGCGGTGTTTCGATCATGAGTCGCGTAGCAGACTCGAAGGTCGTTTGCTAGACAGGGTTCCTCCTGAAACTAAAACTGAATGATTGTATCTGCAACTGGATTCTCTTTTATAATTTTCAGTTGCATGAAAGTAACAAGGGATGGTTTTCATTGAAACTTGGACCCTGAGCAAATGGCAGCAGATCAGTATTCGGACCTCAGGATCTTGGAAGATATTACTTCCCGCATGTTTCTAACGATCCTCCAATTTAGTTGGTTGCTCTCTATCCTTGACATGGCTAGTTTCTGTACATTAGACTCCAGTACGCGTTCCTTTGGACCAAGTAATGTATCCCATACATCATGATAAGTGGATCAATCTCGGAAGATGTTCTTCATTATCAAATAGAAAAGATAACGTGATCCGTCTTGAAATTTTAATGCTTTTCCAGGGGCTGGTAACTGGTAGTCGACCAAACCTTTTCCGGAATACAAATGTCAGACCTCGAGCATCGTAGATGTAGGCGAAAGTGCCATGGACCAGGAAGTAATCTTTAGGAATCGTAAACTGGTCTTGTTGTTGCTCGGTTGTAACACCATGTATTGATTTTCCGATACCTTCAAATGTACCCAAAAATTCTTCAAAGACAAGGTCAGATGATTCTCAGAGCTGGTTTACTTCTTCTTTGTCTTCATGGTCACCCTCAAATGGCGCCAGCAGGTTTTGGTGCACTACCTTTGCTTTACGGTTCGGGATCTTACTTATACGGCAAATGACATCATTGATTTTTTTCTTGATGAGGTACGGACCTTTCTAAGACCTTTGAAGCTCCGGAGAATAACCCTTTTGTGTTTTTGAGTTATGGAGCCAGACTTTGTCACCTTCTTCGAAACATCCTTCTGTGGCTCGGGTATCGTATCGCTTCTTCATTCTGTCGCTAGCGATTTGAAGATGCGAGCGTACCAATTCATGCATAACGTCTCATCTCAGGCCCAAAAAGGACATTTGCTGGTGTGTGGCCTGTTGATTTATTGACAGCGGATCTATAAACCATTACAAAGAGCGAAAGATACTGATCCCAATCTCGCTGATGGTTTGAAACCACTTTTAAAAGATATTTGCCAATACTCTTAATAATTCACTCTACCATACCATCCGATTGTGGGTGTAAAGCTGTGGTTCTGTTTTTCTTTATGCCTAGTCTGTCACAGCTTCCACGGAAAAGTTGGCTTTCAAAATTTCTGCCTTCATCACTGTGGATCTCCAAGGGCACTCCAAATCGACAGATAAACTCTTTTATCAATACATTTGCAACAGTTACCGCCTCTTGATTTGGAATGGTGTAGACTTCCACCCACTTCGTGAAATAATCCATAACCACCATCATGTATTTATTACCATTCTCGGTGATGGGGAATGGTCCAGCAATATCTAAGGCGATCTTCTCAAATGGGATACCAACGTTGTATTGCTTCATGGGAGCCAACTTTGATCACTTTGTATTTAAAGTCCAACTGGAAACCATGTAAGTTCATTACATCCATTCTAAAAATATCATCTTCGATATAAGCCACAATAACAGTGTGAGTGAACTTTTCTGTACCAATTAATTGAACCTAGATTTCCCTATAGATGTTGGCACTTTCACCTGTGGCAGTCCGCAGTCGCAATCTTGGTGGTAGAAGTTTCTTACGGTTATTTATGGTTGTTGGTCATTGCTCCAGTGTCTACCAATAGTGTATACTTTTTACCATTTACTTCGCCGTCTACGTATACACTATCATCGCGACATTTCAAAGAGGCTATCAGTATGAAAGGGTCTTTGGAACGGTTTCGGATCGAAGCTGCCCCCTCTAGGCCGACCCGTTCTAGTTTTCCTGCGGCGTGTTGTCTTCAGTTGTTGGGACCCTAGGGCGTTTGCACGAACTGCGTAAATGTCCCAGTTCACCGCAATTCCAGCACCTGATGGTCTTTGTCTTCATCTTTTTACTAGTAAAGGTCTTCATTATGTTAACTAGTTGGTTGAGTTTATCTTCCATGTTTTCTTCTTTTACAGTCCTCACTTTACTGTATCCTCCAGAAACCTGCGTTGCTGCCTCATACTCTAGAGCAGCGGACAACACATCGACCATTGTTTTGTGACGGGCTAGATGAAATGTTTCGTTGGAATACATATTTTCATTGCAAGGTCATTACAAAGAGCTTCTGCCATCTATTAGTTTACATAGCAAGTAATAGAAGTAAGATTTTATTTTATAGGAAACTATAAATTTGTCAGTACGGCCATCTGTCTAAGGTTGCGGCGTCAGTTTAAATTTCTCCTTTTTTCCTTGTCTTCTTTTCTTATATTATTGTTGTATAGGCTCAGTTTTTCACTATCTACCCAGAGCACTCAGTTTTGTTTTTAACAAGTTTTTATTTCACAAAAATCAGACCTAAGAGTCCTAACACGCACTTTTTGGTAAGCCAGGTAAACCTCAAATAGTGGTAGTGAAAAAACTGAACCCATACAGTTACAGAAGTAGAGCATGAAAAAGAAAATTATCCTGACTCCGTAACCTTCGACTGATTGCCGAAAAGATAATTTACAGTTTTCTTTGAAATAAAATCCTGCTTCTATTACTTGCTATAATAATCGATAGATGGCACAAAGCTCTTGCAGTGACCTTACAACTGCAATATGTTTTGAGATGAAATCTTATAAATTAAAAAAAAATCTTTGAGATTTTCGTAATTCACATATTTTTTAATCGCACAGGCAGACAGCATCTGTTGATTGAAATAATGGTCTATTATTACTGAATGCAGCGTTGCTAATAAGTTTGGAGAGCAATTTTCCTAGATTTAAATCCGGGGATTTTTAAATTAGTTGTTAAACTAAACTGAAAAAAAAACATCTATGATAATCTAAAAAAAAATTGGAATAAAACTGTAGCAATCTTACCAGTCATTGTTTTATTTACAGGCTTTTTGAGTTATTTTTTGTAATTAACGAAGATAGAGACTTTCGGTTTTGGAGACCGAGAATAAAGTAAGTTAGAAATTGAACGTGGTTGTTTTATTTAGAAATTATTGAAAAAGCATTTTTTTATTATAAAAACAACATAAAATATGTTTACGGATGCTGCACGCTGTATCTATTTTTATGATCAGGTTTAGTGAGTAGGGCGATAACATATAATGATTTTAAATAAATAGAAATCGTTTTAAAATAAATATTTTTTTGATTTAACCCTTAACCGGTATGCTGGGGTCTCGCGTAACCCCAAGCATTTAGAATCGTTAATAACTTTTCACTGTTTGGCAACATCGCCTTGCGCGTTTCAGTAGCTGCGCTCAGTAACTTGCTTTAGTTGATCCTTAAGAGCGGTGCCGGTCTCATCTCACGTTTTCGAGATATTTACGTTTGGGATCGTCGCTGACCCCACTATACCAGTTACGTGTTTTTTTTAATTTGGCAATGGCGAATAAATATTTAACACAGCAACAATTAGAGGGCTTAAGCGTAAACCTAAGTGACATAGAGGAACCTACGGAATCTATTGACAATTTTTGTGGTGAATCCGACGAGGGTATTAGTGATGCGCCAACTGAACAAAGTGATCATGACTCTGCGTCTGAAGTCGAATATTCCGAGAGCGAAGATGATCATGGTGTTGCAGGTGGAAGCGAGGCAAGTATAAGTCAAGATACGACCAGTTATTATTACGGAAAGAATCGTTACAAATGGTCTAAAAAGGCACCAAAGAAAAATGTCCGAACTCAAGCTCACAATTTAGTTACGCAGTTACCTGGAATAAAGGGACCAGTTCGGGATACAAAACCTTCCACACCAAACGAATCTTGGAAGCTGTTCCTTTTACAAATTATCTTAGAACACACAAACGCCAAAATAACTGACTTGACTGTAAAATATGAAGGTAACCGCATTTCCTATGTCCATCATCTAAATATAGTTGAACTGAAAGCGTTTCTGGTACTTATTTACTTAGCATCGATATTCAAATTTGGGCGAGAAGATGTGACATCAATTTTCTAGACAGATGGGGCTGATAGACCAATTTTCCGATCCGCAATGTCGCAAAAACGTTTTCTATTTTTTCTAAGTGCAATTAGATTTGGTGACGCTATCAATGGAAAGGATA